TCGATCGGTGACAGCAAACCACACAAGGCACTCAAAAAGTGAATTCTGGATGAAAAGTATATGGATCACAATGAGCTAAGATGTTTTACCCCTCCTGCACGAGGCCAAGGTCCTGGATACGCCACTGTGTCTCATCGAAAATCAAGAAGAAAACTCGTGCTGGCAGAGTATGAGATGACTTTCGCCCTAATTGATAGGCCTATACTGGTCGGGGAAGTTCAAGACGTTACAAATAAAGTCTTGACAGTAAACTGATAGCCTATAACTTCAGTCAAATGCAGAGTTTAGCTCGCCGGAATACCGGATCGGGTGTGTCCATCATCCCACAGACCGTCTTCGAGAGACATTCCGTCAAAGAAGCCTTTCAGCCAACTAGAGTAATGTTACCCAACTACGTTCAAGTTGACTTCCCAGTACTTGGTGCTCTGCACACGTCCGTCAAAGAAGGCACTCGACAAGCCGATGCTACATAAATTATGTTACATTTAATAGTTATGATTCTGATCCTCTTTTAATTCAATGCGGTGTTCCTCAAGGCTCCATCTTAGGTCCACTGTTATTTCTTCTTTATGTAAATGATATTATCAATACATTCCCCCTTCTTTCTTTTATCTTATTTGCCGATGATACAAATATCTTTTATTCCCATCAAGACCTTAATTCGTTAAAAAATACTTTGAATTATGAAATAAACAAAGTATCAGATTGGTTTAAATCCAATAAACTTTCACTTCATACAAAAAAGACTCATTTCATGTATTTTAAACATCATTCTCATAATACAGAAACACCTATATATATTAAAATCGATGGTATGCTACTAGAGAAGAAAACTAATTCCAAGTTTTGGGGTGTTCTTATAGATGAAACCTTGACTTGGAATGCTCATTTACACCAAGTTACAATGTGCATTTCCAAAAGTATTGGAATAATCTCCAAGTTAAAGTTTATTCTACCCCATGCAACCTTATTCCTACTATATAATTCGCTAGTTCTCCCGTATATAACATATTGTAATAGTGTATGGGCAAATTGTGGTTCGACAAAAATTAATTCTATTTTCAAACTGCAAAAGAAAGCCATACGTATTTGTACAGGTTCGAATTTCTTAGCTTACACTGATCCTTTATTCTATAAACTTAAAACACTAAAAAAAATCGATCTGAACACTACTCAAGTAGCAGTTATTATGTTTAAGTACATTAATAATCTGCTTCCACCATCCTTTGATAACATGTTTAGGTTTAATAATTCCGTTCATTCATACTCTACTCGCATATCTGGAAACTTCCATCTTACAAACCCCAAATTATCAATAACACACAAATCTGTTAGACATTCTGGCCCGGACATTTGGAATGATTTACCCGACAACATAAAGTCTTGTTCAACCATCTACTCCTTAAAAGCTACACTTAAACGACAAATAATACAATCATATGCTCCCCTCTCTTTAAATTAGTATAACAAAACCGTGACTTATTTATTCTTTATCATGCAACTGCTCACTGCACCTGCACTTGCACCGCACCCTCTTGATCACTCAGTTTTTCGAAGAGAGTTATGTCGCCAATTCTTTTTACGAGGCCGCCATCCATCTCCAGCCTAACCGCTCACGATGGTGGTCTCCTGCGTTCCAAATTACCTCTCTAATTTATTGAAAATATTTCATATTTCTTATGTTATTGTATGCTTCGTACATGTTTATCGAATGATATAATTGTACATGATTTTTCATTTAATTACTTTTGTAAACATTGTATTCATTGTATTTGTTATTGTTCGAAATTTTGTACTTTGACTTTGAATTTGTATATTTTTGAACGCAGAAATAAAATCAATCAAACAAACAAACACTGTACGCCGTACGTAAAAGATCGGGATGGACCTCATCAACAAACTGGATTTGTCAATCCAGGGCAGCACTGTTCACATCGAGCGCGTCGAAGCCGACATGCAGCGAGGTCCGTTATCACCGAAGTTTCACAAGCTGTTCGCACCAGGTATGGGGAAAGCGTGAAACTTCAGGATACAAGCATCGAGATCAAACAAATTAATGTATACATGGAATATATCAGAACACGAAATAGAGTGAGAAAGATAAATGGAGAGGATAAGGAAAAGAAAGGAGGAAAGAAAAGAGAAGCGAAATTGGAAGTAACCAACCTTTCATTCCTACGATCAGCCGAGGCAATCAAGCAAGAAAGGAAAAAGTGTCAGTTTTAAGAGGAACGTTGGAATGGACGAGCTACACAGTTAAAAATTTAGTGAACATGTTGTTTAAAAGTTTAAACAACTGTTGATTAACGGGTGACCTGATCTAAGAGTTGTTTAAAATGTTAAGCAACTCGAGTTGTTTAAAGTTTAAACACTTAGTTGATCAACATTTTGAACAACTTGTTTAAAATCACAATTTAAACAACTGGTGTTGTTTAAAGACGGTTGTTTAAAACGGAGCTGTTGTTCAGTGGGGGTTGTTTACACCAACTGGGTTGTTTAAAGAAAGTTGTTTAAAAAGGAGCTGTTGTTCAGTGGGGGTTGTTTACACCAACTGGGTTGTTTAAAGAAAGTTGTTTAAAAAGGAGCTGTTGTTAAATAATAATAATAATATTGGATTCTTATATAGCGCACGTATCGACCTTGCAAGGTCCTCAAGGCGCTCCAACATTACCCGGCTATGCTAGGCTGCCATAGGACATTAGTTCCGCGGCGGGACTCGAACCGTGGACCTTGTGATCGACAGTCCGGCGACGTTTCCACTCATCCACGACACGTCTACAGCTTGGTTGGCCATGATTTGAAACAAATCTTTTAGCCAACGCGCACTTTACTGGCACGTGACACATGACGTCATATGTAAACAACACTGTCTAAAAGCTCTCGTATAGTAAATAAAGCAGTCATTAAATTTTAAACAGCAAATGTTTAACAAAATTACTTTCGTTTCGAGCAACATTGTTTACAATTTGTTCAACTGTTGTTTAAGATAGTGTACAACTGTAAGTGAACATCACTTTTTTAAGCAGCGTTTTTACTGTGTAGGTCTTGGTAAGATCGTAAATGCAGTTGCAAAGAACATCGCTTTGCCTACTAAGGGCAGCATGAGTACCATGGTTGGTACACCAGACGGTAGGATGGCAGTGGGAAGCTGTTTTGGTGGCGTGGAGATCTTCTCTGCTGATGGTCAGCTCCAGCAGACAGTTTTCAAACATGTTAAGATTCGTGGAGTAGGGTTCTTCTCTGATGATCGGTTTGTTATACTTGATACCTTTGGCACTATCACGCTGTACACACTAGAGCAAACAAAGTTGAATGTAATGTTTGAGACTCTGAGTAACGATGAAGGTGGATTTGCTCACCTCACTGTAGACGGTGATAACCAGATCTATGTTAGCTACACGAAAACCCACACGATCCAGGTTTTCTCACCAGCAGATGGGAAGGCGATCAGGGAGATACCATGTGATGAGTCCCAGATAACAATACGACGTTACGCCAACGTGGGGCCAACGTAAGCTGTTACGTTGGTCCAACGTCGCCAACATGATGTTGGGCCCACGGCTTTCTTGCCGGCGGGCCAACGTTGGCCCGACAGTGACAAAATGACATTAAGCCAACATCGGGCCAACGTTATGCCGACCCCTATCCGACCATATGTGCCGATGTCCTCCCGACATTGAACCAACGTTATGCCAACCTCTTTTCCACCGTATGCCGACGTCTTTCCGACATTGGACCAACGTCGTCCCAACCCTTTTTTAACCATGTGCCGACGTACGACCAACGTTATGCCAACCCCTATCCCACCATGTGCCGACGTTGTTCCGACATTGGATAAACGTTATGCCAACCCTTATCCCACCATGTGCCGACGTCTCCTCGACATTGGCCCAACGTTATACCAACCCCTTTTCAAGCATGTGCCGACGTCTCCACGACGTAGGGCCAACGTTATTCCAACCCCTATCCCACCATGTGCCGACGTAGTTTCGACATTGGACCAACGTTATGCCAACCCCTATCCCACCATGTGCCGACGTCGTGGGCTGTTACGTTGCGCCATCGTCGCCAATGTGATGTTGGGCCAACGGCTTTCTTGCCGGCGGGCCAACGTTGGCTCGACAGCGACGAAATGACATTAAGCCAACATAGGGCCAACGTCCCCCCGACGTATGACCAACGTCATGTCAACCCCTATCCCACCATATGCCGACATAGGACAAACGTAATGCCAACCCCTTGTACACTATGTGCCGACGTCTCCCCGACGTTGTCCTAACATAATGCCAACCCTTTTCCCACCAAGTGCCGACCCCTCCTCCACCATGTGCCAATGCTAGACCAACGTTAAGCCAACCTCTTCTCCACCATTTGCCGACGTAGAAGCAACGTTATGCCAACCCGTATCCCACCATGTGCCGACGTTGTACCTCCCCTTTCCAGTTCATGCCAACATCCTTCTGACATTACCAACACCAACTCAAAAACATATTCACACCAACATCAGTCGTCCGTTCATAAGAACATCGTCAAGATCATACTACATCGGACATGTACAATCATTCAAACACATGCATCACAACGTGACAAGGAATAGCCAAGTAGTTTAAGATTGGATTAAATAAATAAACAGAGCAAAATCCACAAAATGAAGATAGTAACAATTTCATCAAAATTAGACTGAATTTGAGAAAAGTTCATTATAGAACTCGACTTAGATCCCTCTGGAAGATATGTATAATAACAATATTGAAGCAAGAGGGACATGTTATTTTAATTTCGTCATGTCTATTATCTTGTACATTTTAATCACTATCAAAACTTGATAACAACTTATTTGTCCCATTTTAATGAAAAGTTCACCATCTTGCTTCTTAGAATTTGCTCTGAATACACCCCCCTCCCTCCAAAACAAAAGAACAAGGAAAATAAACTGATTTTGTGATAAAACATACTTTATTTTATGTGTAATAAACAAACTATTGTAAATGTGAATACAATTATTGTACATCTTTCTTTTGTATTTTCGTTTGAATTCGAAAAAGATGTAAACATAGTTTCAAGTTCAAGGTATCTCAATGTGTCACAATATAGGCCTACTTTCAATGAATGCTAGGACGATAGGAGCTGTTATAAAATGAATTGTCGCTTACACGTAACACAACATAACATACTGAAATTCATTGTACGAATATAATAAACAATCCTCACAACTTCCCGAGTAAAACAAAACAAACTTTCTGGCAGACGAACACGATTGCTTATGACAAGATTCCTCTACATATGTACAGCACAAAAATATAAAGAAATTAATAAAGTGTCCACCATTTGCATACCAAGAACTAGGCAATTAATGTAAACAATGTTCCATAAAAAATAAAAAATAAAATTCAGAGAAATTGCCAACATTTTTTATGCTTAAGCATTTCAGAGATGCTGATACATTTCGTCGCCATATCTATTGTTAACACATCTACAAACTGTTTTTTTAGGAGGGATAGTATACATTGCTTGAATGTGTGAAGTAAAGCAATCGCTAAATGTTTATATAACAAGAGAGGAAATTTGAAAGTGAAGTAAGAAAGAGCAGAGCTTGTAAAGGGAAAAACACAAGTTTCTTCACTCTGATATACCACTTTCAATATTTCTTTAAATTGAGAAGAAGGTAGTGCGAAAAACATTCAGTCACTTAGATATATGAAACATTTTTTTCTTACCTTTGAAATTCTTTATAGCATGCATTTAGTTGACACGTTATACAGGCATTCAAATCAATTACGACCTTCTTCGACTCATGGTATAGCTCTCTTTTTAAAATTGGGCCATTAGTGAAATTTCACCACAATAAATAACAAGTAAAGATGCATAGCACACTATTTAATAACAAAAGTTATTGTTTATGTTTGTGTACAAAACATAATGCCTGCAGAGCTGGCTAGCAAGCACCGTAGCTTGCCTAAGCGGAGATCGTTCTTGATATAACATCACTAATCCTTTGGTCAATCATTCCGAGGAACTCTGAGAATTGTAAGGGGCGGGGTCCACCATTAGATGAGCAACTTGGAGAGGTTTTCAAAAAATTGTAAAAAATATAAGGAGGCATTTATTTATGAAACAATTGTTATTATGTTGCTTTAAAAGGGTCTTGATACAAGACATAAAAGTTTTAATTTCCTAAGGCAATGGACCTTTAAAGAATGGGTTAGTCGGAATCAAAATCTTGTCTAGCTTGTGGTGGTACAACTTCGGCATCTGCGGCAAAAAAAAGAAGAAAGAAACCAAACAAGATTTAAAAGCAGATCATGGAAACATCACCTTGAAATAGTACGGATATTAATCAAATAGTACGGCATTCAAGGGAAGTAGTCCTGAGTGGCACATCCTCCCTAGTTTTGATGACATTTCATGGATAGAAGTACTTTGTCATGAAAATAACTTCGTTCAAACTTTAGAGCGAATGACCCAGACGTATGGAAATTAGAAAGGAATGGATTTCTTTTATTTTTGTCTTGTTTAATTAGAGTAGCATCAAACACTCTTCTTAACAAAGGAAATATACATTTGAGGTAAAATGGCAGTAACATTCTTCAATAGAAAGAACCAATTTATAGTATCTGTTTGCTCAGTGTTGAGATGCTTGATTGATAACAGTTTAAAGCCCCTCTTAAGTGTTGGATCCCAAAATTAGCCAAAGAATAGATGGCACAATCTCACTTAAATGGTATGATGTAAAAGAGGATGTCATTAACACCTGGACACTTCTGCAAATAGAATATTGCCCTAACAAATGTGTTTGAAGTAGAATATGGATGAAAGAATACAACATTTGCGTTTTCTGCATACAACACAAAACCCTTAGTTAGTAAGTTTGTATTCTTTCTAATTTTAGGACAAATGTTTGAAGAAGAGTGGCATTTTCTTTCACATCATTATAACATTGAAGTGAAATGTGATGCTCCCAATATTTTTTTTAGTATTTATGTAAGCTCCCAATACTTGAGAGAGCTCGAGGGGCTTCAAAGTAGAAACAAAAACACAAAGCTATATCGTTAGTTGCTTATACAAGAAACAAATCAATTGACTGTGTTTTGTTTTTTGTGGCACCCTGCATTCAGAATTGTTTCCAAAAAAATACTGCTATAAGCAGTATTTCATGATTTGTTGTTGTAGAATAGTTTTGTAAGTGATCACAATGCAGTTTCTCAATATAATCAGGAAAAATATTCTAGCATCCGTTAGCAGCTATGTCCTACACAAACGTACATTAATCCAGTACATTTGTACTTTGTGTGCAGGGCACAACTATAACGAATACTAAGAAGTGCTATCCTGTCTACATGTATAACTAAATACAAAATGAATAAAATGCCAAATGACATACCCATATTTCTGAATGTTGAGGTCAATAGGGTCGTTGGGGTCGACAGTGTTCTGGAGGTTGATGGGGTCGATGTCGAAGGGGTCCTTGGTGCTGTTGATGCTGTTCTGGATGATCGAGGTAGGGGTAGCTGGATCTGAACGGGTAGAGGAATCTGGAATTTGTTGTGAAGTTGACGATATGAAATGCAGGATTTAATATTTAAATTTCAGAATTGTAGGGATTATGGGAGAAAAAAGTATCGGGATTTGGAAGAGCTATATAGAATTGAATGTATTAATAAAGAACGTCAGAATTTTAAAAATAAATAATTAGAATATTTACCTTCAGTTCAAATTATAGCAATTTAATATACATGTGCATAAACAATAAAAACTAATTTGAAAATGAGAATAAAAATGCAGCAATAATCAAATTTGTGAATGAAAATTGTGAATGAAAATTATGGGATCGATCAGTGTTACCCCCGCCCCCCAATATTTTCCTATTTACTATTTGATCAAATTGAGGTTCTGGGCCAATTGCGACTTTAAATGATTGCAAATGCTAAAATGAGGGTAATTCCCACCAGCTACCTCTTTCACATCACACTCACAATCTACTAAATGTGTTGATACAAAGTTCTTGCATATTTTGGCAGACTTGGCACCCTTGTAAGATTTCAGGAGGCTAGAAACATGTACTAGCGGGATATCTTAATTCACAGCTCAATCTCGTAATTTATTCCTTTTCGAACTGAATCATCATCAGCATATATTGAGCTACTACAGAGTATAGTATAGACCTACTTCTAAATCTGAAAGTATCAGAGACTATAATATCATTTAGATATATGCATAAAAAAATGATGCGTCTTCCCATTCAGCTCTATTTGATTCAATTGGTCTTTCCAACAATGCATCAGCACCTTCAACACTTGTAACACCAACAGATTCACAATCATTTGATTCATGGTCGATATTGCATATTGGGATGAACATCGATCATCACTGTCACGGACGCTGCAACATGATGCATCAATACATCACCTAGGCCTAACTCTAAGTCAGGAACATATTAACATTTATCACGGCAAACACTCAATGCATCTGATGCCGACACTTCGGCCCCCATCATAGCCATCACTCACACTTCAATTGCACGCAGCGGGTGTGCATAAGCGTACGCCGAGCGGTACACTAGCTCGTACTCACTTTCATTTGGACAGGGAATTATCAATGATTACTTTAACAATTTCTCATGCTATTTCCCTCGCTTTGTGACTGGGAGTTCTCACACTATACAATTTATCAGTTTCACGCGACATGCTCACAAAAATAACGTTGAAAGAGAAAGAAAATCATTCATTTACCATGCAGTGTTGGTATTCCCCGGCAACTGATCCAGACAAATGGACAGGATATGGCTGACGTACGTTGCAATTGCATGAGCACATGGGCATGCGCACGCATGCAATTTTTTTTACCCGGATGTAGCGGTACTAGGTCGTATTTGCTACGTTGGCCCAACGTCATATAGCCAACCAATATATACATGCACTATTTATCAGTAAAGATGGAGACGATATAGACCAACGTTAAGCCAAGGTTGGCCCCCGGGTTGGCCCAACGTCGCGTATATTAGCCAACATATATCCACCATTTCTCAGTAAAATTTGAAACGATGGACCAACATTGAGCCAACGTTAATAGCCAAACGTCGAATAGCCAATTAACAGCCACAATTTATCAGTAATAATTGAGACGATGGACCAACGTTCAGCCAACATTGGCCCAACATCGAATGGCCAGCCAAAAGCCAACATTTGAAATTTAAAATTGAGACGATGGACCAACGTTCAGCCAACTTTAGCCCAACGTCGAATAGCCAACCAATAGCCACCATTTATCAGTAAAAATAGTGACAATGGACCAACGTTCAGCCAACATTGGCCCAACGTCGAATAGCCAACTAATAGCCACCATTTATCAGTGAAAATGGCGACAATGAGCCAACGTTAGCCCAACGTCGAATAGCCAACCAAAAGCCAACATTTATCAGTAATAAATGAGACAATAGACCAACGTTCAACCAACATTGGCCCAACGTTGAATAGCCAACCAATAGCCAACAATTATCAGTGATAATTGAGACGATGGACCAACATTTAGCCCACATTGGCCCAACGTCGAATAGCCAACCCAAAGCCACCATTTATCAGTGAAAATGGCGACAATGGACCAACACTGAACCAACAATAGCCCAACGTCGAATAGCCAACCAAAAGCCACCATTTATCAGTGAAAATGGCGACAATAGACCAACGTTCAGCCAACATTGGCCCAACGTCGAATAGCCAACCAATGGCCATCATTTATCAGTGAAAATGGCGACAATGGACCAACGTTCAGCCAACATTGGACCAACGTCGAATAGTCAACCAATAGCCACCATTTATCGGTGAAAATGGTGACAATGGACCAACGTTCAGCCAACATTGGCCCAACGTCGAATAGCCAACCAATAGCCACCATTAATCAGTGAAAATGGCGACAATGGACCAAAGTTCAGCCAACATTGGCCCAACGTCGAATAGCCAACTAAAAGCCACCATTTATCAGTAAAAATGGTGACAATGGACCAACGTTCAGCCAACATTGGCCCAACGTCGAATAGCCAACCAAAAGCCAACATTTATCAGTGAAAATGGCGACAATGAGCCAACGTTAGCCCAACGTCGAATAGCCAACCAATAGCCAATATTTATCAGTGATAATTGAGACGATGGACCGACATTTAGCCAACATTGGCCCAACGTCGAATAGCCAACCCAAAGCCACCATTTATCAGTGAAAATGGCAACAATGGACCAACATTAAACCAACAATAGCCCAACGTCGAATAGCCAACCACAAGCCACCATTTATCAATGAAAATGGCGACAATGGACCAACGTTCAGCCAACATTGGCCCAACGTCGAATAGCCAACCAATAGCCACCATTTATCAGTGAAAATGGCGACAATGGACCAACGTTCAGCCAACATTGGACCAACGTCGAATAGCCAGCCAATAGCCACCATTTATCAGTGAAAATGGCGACAATGGACCAACGTTCAGCCAACATTGGCCCAACGTCGAATGAGCCAACCAATAGCCACCATTTATCAGTAAAAAATGGCGACGATGGCCCAACGATTAGCCAACGTTGGCTTGCCGACTGCGACCCTGCCGACCATGGCCGACGTTGGCCCAACGCCGTATTGTTATCTGGGAGTATATACCTCAGCAGATTACTACTTATAATGATAACCTGGTCGTCAAATCCTGTGAAACATTACGATTGATTGACAAGCAAGGTGTTGTAAAATATAAATTAGCGAAATTAGTTGATCACCTATACGCTGCTGTGTCTCAAGATAATACAATCTTGATTGCCACAAGGGAGCACGACGTAGGTTTGGTCAGCATTGATGAGTACACTAACGAGCTAAAGCATGTCCAGAACATCGTCAATAATTACAAGATTGAGAAGCCTGAGAGAAACTGGTACTATCTCCAGCAGTACCGATCAGGAGAGATCGCTTTCTGCACTACTAATAGACTCTATATATTCCACTGAAAATAATGGATGACTCATCCTTACTTGCACTGTATGATATACCACTGTCTTCAGGCCCGTAGGAAGAAGTGGGGGGGGGGGGGGTGCGATGTCTCCGAACGGACCTATTTTTTCTGGTTTAAATAAGCACGCTGAAAAATTTAGAGTAACATAATATTTCATTAAAAAACAGACCCATGCCCGGCTATTTTTTTTCAAAAACATCCAAAAGGCCCGGTGTTTCTGTGACTTTATAAAGTGTAAAGATCTATAACATCCAATGGAGTCAGTTATATCTCGAACTTGGTGAATTTGAGTTTTCGAGACTGTTTCAGAAATTATATTCCTAAATCATGTCAGATCAATTTGAATAATTGAACCTTTTTAAAAAGTAAGCTTTCTTTTGATATACTTCGGATGTTTTTTATCTTTCAAGATTTTGTTGTTGGTGATGACTCTACACGTGAATCTGACTTTTTGATATATGTTGTACATCATGTAGACACAATGTAATTATGGATTAAACGATTGTTTTACAGTAGGAGATAATCATCATAGTAATAGACTCTATATGTATTGCCGTTTAATACAATGACTAATTTTCCTTTATTTTCTACAATGCATTTCAGATCACTGTCCGATTATTGAATCATGAGAGGAAATGCCACGTTTTCATGATAATGTTTACTTCTTACAATATCTCTAGTTGTGTAAGAAAGAGTTCAAGAGTTTTGAAAGTCGACCTATTGATTGCATGATATATGTTGCAAAAGTATTGTAAAACCAATCGTCAAAATAAGGGTTAATTTTTTTTATTTGAAGGACTCTGATATATTTTATGTATTCTATGTTTATTTTCCGTCTGGCAAAGTACATGGGAGAAATGGCATAGAACTCAATTGTCGGATATACCCGATTCATTTATTCACTTTTTTGAGATATTTCATTTCGTATGTGTTTTTTTTTCTTCTGTCTATAGACGTTTCTGTCAATCCTATCTAATCCCATAAAAAGAAAATATTTTGTATCAGAAAGGAATCTCACTAACTTCAACGAATGCAGAAAAATTGGTCTTTATAAGTTTTAGAAAAATCTGAAAATTCGTGATTTTACAGCTATATGTACTCTATGTTCGCTTTGTACTAAAGATTTCATTAAACATGCCCAAGCAGTTTTGTTGTCATACCTAGGGCCGAAATTTGAAATTGTTAACACGTTCTTTTTAAGTCCTCCTGTTTTTATAACACGTACACTATCATCAAAACTATTTTTTGACATTTTCCATATAAAAGAAATTGAGAGGCGATCGCATTTGGTGTTGCCTATTCATAGAGGGGCATTTCAATTACATTAATTGCAATGACGACCTTCGTCATTGCCTTGTTTTCGTTCACATTCTGCCCCATTAATATTCTCCTTTTCCTCCTTTTCCTTTTCCTTATCGTCAGGAAATCGCATTCGTTTTGCACGTAATGTTTGTTATTCCTAGTTAGGTGCTTTTCTCATGTCCTTTTCCTTTCACATTTCATAGGCATAGTCTCTAACATCCCTTCAAGGTCACTACATTCTTCGATTTTCGAAATCACTCATGCATAACCGTCCAGGCGCCATTTTGTCCGTTTCTGGTCCATTTTAAGGCCTTTCTTTCTTCCTTCCTATCTCCACTATCCTAGATCCTACACATTTCTAACAAATTCCTCTAGATAGTCTAAGAGATGTTCTTTTATCTGCGACGTATAACCTGCCCTTCAAAATGCCATCTTCATACTCAAAATTCAAATCTGAAACCGACTCCGTCAACTATCTCTCAAATTCTTGAAAAATTGACACCTAAATAATCTAAAACTGCCATAACTTTCTCATATAAATTCCGTTTTGTATTTAAATCTCACAGTATCCTTATCTCATAATTGCACATAGCCATGCCAAATTTCACGCTCCAATGACTTTGCACAACATAAATAGCGCCCTCTAAAGTTCTGGGAATTGGCTTTCTCTCTGTGGCCGTATCTCCATAATGGCTTGGCAAACCCGTACCCTTTTTTGGATTTAGATACTTGAAGATATGCCCTTTCCAGCCATATACAAAATTATATACCCTATCACTGACCAAATTTGAGAAAATTGCCCTCCAAATTCGCCATTTTCAAGAAAATTGCAAAATAACTTCAACTTGCTCTAAAATTACGATCCTTTGACCTACGTCAATAAAACTTGGCACACACATGTATTTATATACGTGACAACTGTCCGCAAAGTTTGGTAAAATTTGATTATGTCAGCGCAAAGTTATCTCAAAAAATGATGTATTTACTATGCATTGCGTGATAGCGCGTTAAATGCGTGCAATACATTGCGCGAAGATAACAATGGTGTCAAACTGACCGCAATGAAGTGCCCTTTCGAATGATACCAAGTATAGTATATGTTCACACAGAAAATTGTGAATAAATCGCATTTGAACAAAGATCACTACACGAATTCCGCCGAGTTTCCGCCCGAATCTAACACGTATCGGCTATGACGTCATTTTTTCAGACTGCTTTTCGCCCCTTAAACGTCCTTTTTTTTCCTTGAAAATTTGCAGTGACATGCCGAGTTCCAATACGCAGGGCACCTCATGGCCGGATTTTTAAAATTGGTCAATGTGGCTATTTAAGACGCCATTTTGTCCTATAAATCTATTTTACATCACGTGTTTCGATAGGATTATCATGGGAAAAAAGAGAGTGGTTTACAATAACATTCATGAAATTCTCTTTCTAATGATACCAAATACGGCTCATAAAGAGACATAAAGAGAGAGAGAAAAAACAATTTAACTCCGGTCATAATACAGATCCTGTACGTTTTCCGCTCATGCATTACACGCATTGTCTATGGGGCATATCGGGTTCACGCTTTTGACCCCCAGAACGATCTTTATTGCAATGACGAACATGCACCAAATCCCCTTGGTTTTTGCACGCAGTGCTTGCGAGCCCTTTCCACGTCCTTTCCCATATCCCAATTTCTTTCAAACTTCGTAGGCATAGTCACTACCATCCCATCAAGGTCACTGTTGAGGCCTTTCTTTCGCCCTACCTATCTCCAATATCACAGAAGCTACAGACTTCGTACAAATTGCTCTGGATAGGGCGAGAGAAGCTCTTTCGTTTGACACGTAGAAACATGGCGTCATTGCACGCACATCGTTGTGACACGATTGCATTTCTAGTTTCTTCTTGTTTTGTTTAGACTTATTCCCCGTTTCTTACGTTTTCTGCATCAACATG